CTTACTGACACGGTACCTTTATTGGTTGACTCCTTCCATCCATTTCTTACCACTCGGTACTGATCACCCACCTTTATGTCTTGATAGGTGCTTTCATTTATTTTTGGTAGCTAAATTCTTTCATGACTTTTCCTTTTTGGTCAGTCCATTCCTTGTCGATGACCATCTCTATAACTGTCCTTGGACACTGGATTCAAACCATTCCGTTCCGTAGTCCTTGAAAAGTTGAAAAGACTGCGACTGTCCTCCATCCGTTTTTGATCACCCACTTTCATTACCGTCATATCACCCGCGGGTGCCGGCCTCCATCCATTCCTCAGTGGCTGACCTCCATTCATCCTACGAGCTAACCCATCCAATCTTAATCACTCACTTTCATTTCCATAATATATTGTATGATCGCTGAACTCCGCCCGTTCCTTGGTGCCTGACCCCCATCCGTTCCTAATCACCCACCAACATTACCGCCAAATATATTTCATCATGTTCACTTTGGATCTTTTTTTCAGAGTGAAGTGTTGTTTCCTTCGATCCTGGCTAACCCCTGCTTATTCCTGGCCATCGACGACCTTCTCCCCTTCCTGACCTTCATCTATTCTCGGCCATTTTCCCATCAGGACAGAGTTCTTCCTGCTATCTCTTCTTTCTATTCCTGGCTCGCTTGACCTCCACATCCATATTCCCTGGTCATTTTCCCCCCATCCATTACTAGTTACTTAAGCCGTAGCTAATATCGGTATATTATTTTCCCGCTGACACTCTGTCGGCTTCATCCCTCTCAGCCCTACTTAGTGTAAAATGTGCCAAGGGGATATGTGTTCATAAATCGTGCTTGTAAATAAACATGCGTGTCAAGGAGATGCGTGTTTCGGATCATATCCGTCGCCGCTCGCCAGGATTTGTTCTTATTCCATAAGAGTGTTCAGTTTTTACTGCGTCATTAAAGCGTTGATGGAGGCCACATGTACATGACATGTTTCGACATTTATCATCTCCCCGCTGATTTATTCCCAAATTGACAGCCGAGAAAAATAACTTTGTTCCCTTGCACTCATGGCAATGAGGTTATTGTGCAGCTAGCTGAGCCAGTATCCTGCCCAAAAGGCAACTTTTTAGTCCTGACTCTTTTATTTAGCTGAGGGACAGTTGGCTATGTAGCATCCTGGTACCGGGCCAACTTGGGGCCTATACCGATTTTGTTTCCTCTGACCTCCAGCAAATCATACCGTAGCGCCATTTAAAAAGGGGAGGGTGTAACCTTCAAGTCAATAAATCAGAGGGAGAGATGAATGGTAATGTCACGACGGACAGACGCCGTTCCAATCTGCTTTGTGTTTGACGGGGGGGGGTTGTGCGCACCGGCATGTGCTCCCTCGAGAAGGTCATTTGTCAAATTGCATCCGAGTGGTTGCATAACAAAGGAAACGCTTGAAGGAATTTTGGAAATTGAACAAAATGTCGCTGCCCTTTAGAATGGCAAAATTCCTCGACTATTCAAAGTTGGAAATGCTCTAATTAATAATAATTAAGCAAAGATATTTAATAAATTATATATATATATATATATAGAGAGAGAGAGAGAGAGAGAGAGAGAGAGAGAGGAGAGAGAGAGAGAGATTTGCCATTTTGTTGAATTTTGCCCACCAAAACTCACATTTGGACTTTTGGGCAAATTTCACCAAAACCGAATTTTGTAAGAATTGAGAGAGGAGTTTTCCACCATAATGTAAAAAGTAAATGTGGAGATTGAGTCTGAAATGTTAAAAAATGTGCATTTATGAGGTTTTGTTACAAAATTCCTCTCTGGGTATTTTTGACAAATTTGATTGAAACTATAACTTTGCGTTTACCATTTCTTGATGTAAAAATTGCACTCTGGATTCGTTCTAAAATTCACAGTTTTGCTGAAATTCCCCAGAACTTGAACTTTTTTTCATTTATGTTTGAGAAAAAGTGACTAGCCATAGGCTGTTCACCTAAACCTCAGTAACTAAAACTTGCACACTTTGCTGAATTTTTTTCCTCTCATCTCCCACTAGCTGAGCAGGCTAACATGATGCCTTACCATTTTTTTCATCCAAGTGGAAGGAATGTCGACAATTGAAGGCACACAGACGAAATCCCCGTTTAAGCCTCAATATTTATTTATAAACTCTAAATACTACATACAATATATTCCTTGTATAAGGCAGATTACAGAAAACATTCCTCATGATGTCATACATGTACAGTGAACGAATAGAATCCATGACTCTATGTATAGGCCCACTATAATATCTTACTTTAGAAAGAATTTACAAAGAAACAAAAACTGCTGCTTAAAGAATCACTACGTGAATGTTCCAAATATCAGCACTCAAACGCTACGCTACTATCTTGACGCGCGGAAGAGGAAAAAACAAAAAGAGATCTTATGTGAATTACTACAGCCAAAAAATCTTGCATAACTAGAGCTAAGATGTCTAAAACAGACATTGGAGCACTTCAAGTCACTTAATTGAAGGTAAGAAGGAAGAAATACTACGATGCCCAAACAAAGAAGCCTATATGTGTATATGTGCAGTTTATGCACTGCCTAACAGCACCACGACATCCATTAAGAGTCTAACTACATACTGCTAGTGTGTCAGAGGACATGCCAAGGAAGATCAGCGAAGCCGTGTGTGTGTTTGTGTGTGTGTGTGTGTGTGTGTGTGTGTGTGTGTGTGTGTGTGTGTGTGTGTGTGTGTGTGTGTTGTGTCACTACGTGTGAATAATTCAACACAATCGTGTGTCATATTCCGGAGAGGAGTTAAAATTTAAATGTCTCCGGAGTTTAAAGAAGCTTCGAGAGGTGGGAGGCGGTCTGAAGAGAGTCAGAGCAAGCGAATGGTTCCGAGCAAGACACTCTACAGCGGGCATATTCAGGGGAATTTTTGACGTCGTGTGTGTGTTTGTGTGTGTGTGTGTGTGTGTGTGTGTGTGTGTGTGTGTGTGTGTGTGTGTGTGTGTGTGTTGTGTCACTACGTGTGAATAATTCAACACAATCGTGTGTCATATTCCGGAGAGGAGTTAAAATTTAAATGTCTCCGGAGTTTAAAGAAGCTTCGAGAGGTGGGAGGCGGTCTGAAGAGAGTCAGAGCAAGCGAATGGTTCCGAGCAAGACACTCTACAGCGGGCATATTCAGGGGAAAAAAAAAAAAATCCAAAGAGGGGTCGCGTACACGAATCCGAAGAGATGTTGCCTATGCCAAAACCAATTTCATTTTTGGGTTAAGATAAGCGGTTAAATGGGCTGATGTCTCAGCTTGTCTTTTAGGTGACAAAGCAAAGAGTTTTACAGTTTTTTTCCCTCGTTCCTCCAGCTTTGTAATGTTCTGTTTAATGTTTCATGTTTACAGCTCATTTAGGCTCCTAGTATGTATAAAAATAGCCAGCGAAACATCTAATCCAGGACAGTGAATCCCTCCAATAGCAAAACTGCGCAAGTAATTGACACTCACCCAAAAAAGTTTTATAGATGCCACAAAATGGTGTCAAGGCACTAATTTTGTCTTACTGAAGCTCCTGAGCTTGCTCCAACATAGCTCCTTGGTGCTAAGATGGCCTTAAAGCAGTTAGGTTTGTCTAAATGAAGCTCCTCATCTCTCTTCAACGCAAGATTTTATATGTGTAGTTTGGAGTATATTTATGGGTTACGCTATTGGTCGGCATGTTTAAATTTTAAAAATTGGGTGGTGTCAATTACTGACATTTTTTTTTTTTGCTATTTGAGGCAGAGTTATGGTGCGAGGTTGAATGAGGAACTCCTGAATATTTTCCCCAATAACAATATCGTGGTTACTTTTCTCAGGACTCCTAAAAACAACCTGCCGGCCCCAATCGGACCCCCAGGATGGACTTTGGACACCCCTGCTCTAGTGCAATGGTTCCCAACTACTATGCAGCAAATTACTTATGTGCAACAGGTAATTTCTTCTATCTTTGCCAGCGATGTATCGTGACAGGCAGAATAGTGAATTGATCGTCGACTTTTTGTGACCATTTTGGTCATGTGTAAGATTTTTTTCTTGGTTATCGTGCCTTGAGATATGAGTGCCTTGAAATTTTTCAAGGTACGAGCGAGTATTTGGATCAGTTTTTTTTTTTTTTTTTTCTGTCGGTATGGACAAAAATTTGCGCGACGACTACACATCAGACCTCCACTGCTCTTTGGCAACAGCAAACTTCCCATCATCCGGTCACCATTTAGATTTCCTTGCAGTGGAAGGATAATACCAGTTGGTGGCAGTAATGCACCATTCAGGTTTGTCAACAGACCCCACAGAAGAAGAACCAAACACAATACTTGAGGTACATTTGTTTTGTGCCCTAATTTTCTAGGGTTGCAGGTTATATGGAGAACAAAGAGTATTACTGTGTGTACAGTAATTGTGAGTGCAGTTTTTCAGGCTTCAAAAAGACGTTAAAAGACACATTTTTGTGTTTGTTTTTTTGGGGGCGGGGGTGGGGGGGTGCGTTGGCAGGATGAATTGCGTTCCAATCATTTCAGTGTGGAAAGCTGATGTGGGATAGGAGTGTTTTGGTATACATGAGTGGTGCGGGACAGTGGCGTGCAAAGGTGTCCCCCCCCCCCCACCCACCCGGCAATGGGAATATTTCAATTGGCAGCCACAGCTGATATATATCAACATTAATTACATCCTCACCCCCTCCGCAATAAAAACAATGCCCTCCCCCAAGGCATCCACTGTGCTTTGCACGCCACTGGTCCGAGAACATTTTAAACTAGACATAGTAATGTGGTCATGAACCAAATTAAACTTCTATCTCAAGGCACCAGCTGTATGTCGTGGCTCAATAAAGGTTGTGAGTCACTGCTCTAATAAGCGTGGATGTGTGTGTGTGTGTGTGTGTGTGTGTGTGTGTGTTTGGACTATCGTACAGGCCTGCTATGCTCAGTATTCTGCATGAGAGTCGTTGACAAGCAGCAGCAGAGATGGATTAGAGTTCTTTGTGCCTTATTGCTTTTTCCTGTTTATTCCACAGTCTCGTTCCCTGAGTTTAGCAGTCCGCGGGGGCTCCGCCGTGCTCCACCGGATCGCTTCCGTGCTCCTCCACCTCCACCGGCTCCTCCTCTCGGTGCACAGCACACCGCACCGGACGCGCAATGACGCACGGCCGCGCCGCCCCGCTTGCAACCGCCGCCGCCCTGCGACTGTCGCGCTCGTACTCCTCCTGCGCTCTCTGGATCTTACGATTCCTCAGCCTCCTCTTGTGGAAGTGAAACGTTGCCACGGAGACGAGCACGACGCCTGCCAGCACGGCCACCAGCACCAGTAGGGCCAGCGTGGATGACAGCGGCGGGAATACAACGCTCAGCTGCTCCGCGCATGTGCCGTTGACACCCAGGCTCAGGCACCGGGGAGCCGGGGAGGACGGGGGGATCGGGGGTGGCATCCGGCCGGCGGGAGCCTTCGTGCTGCGAGTGCTGGGGGACGCTCAACGCGGGGAAGCCGGGCCGCGCATGCGCTCACCTATTGGAAGACAAGCGGAAAACACACCCGCTCAAAAAGCAGGCAACCATTTCACAGTCAAATCTCACGACTTGCAATTTATTCTCCAAGTTGCAACCCCCCTTTTCATCATCATTTCCTCAACAAAAGGCTTACCTGGCGTAAAAGTCAGTGCAGGGACCAGTCCGTGCTGTTGTGTGTGAGCGCAGTGACGCATTTCAGGAGGATGAGGATGATGATGAGGGTGATGGTGGTGATTATGATGGAGCTCACACCATCTAGCCAGGAAGTCTTTCTTGTCCTAATTGCCGCAATCCGCTCAATGTGCACCCCTCGCACGGCGTCGGGAGTCTCTGTCAGCGCGCATAGAGAGCTGTCCAACAATGAGCAGAGCTGGAGCGAGATGAGGAGGAAGAAGAAGAAAAAAAAACCCTCCTCCCTCCCCGACTTCCTTCGCTTCTGCTGCTCCACTCAGCATGTGAATGAGGAGCTGCAGCTGCATAAAAGCTCCACTGGCAGCTGAGCCCCCCGCCCCTTTTTTTTTTTCCAAATAATGATTCATTCTGCTTACAAGCGTCCAAAAGTGATGCTTCTTACAATACGGTAGATTCACCCTGGAGTCAAATGATAAGTGAAGTGAGTGTAAGGTAAATTAGCTTCTCATAAAGGACCACAATCAGCGTGGTAGCCAGTTGGCTTTCCCCATGGGTGCGGTCAGCTTGAAGCACATGAGTGGAAAATAATTCGTTTTGGGGATGCTGGTTGACCCCCGAGGAAATAACGTAAGAAGAATGAATCTGTAATCTGTCACCCGCTGTCAAAAAACCTTTAACAGTGGAACCATGCTATTCACAGGGGATAGTGACCGAGCATTGAATTAATCACATTTTGAGTGGAAAAAAGGCATTGAAGGATTGGGAGATTAAAAAAAAAACAACAACACTGGCATTTTCTTGGGAATAAACCACCATTTCATGTTTTCCATGGAAAAAAAGGGTTTGGCTCCCTCTTAAAGTCTACAAAAATAAAAATTCCAGATGCTGGTGGTCATCAGTCTGCGTCAGTTCGACGCAGATTTTTAATATTTGCGGGTCGGCTTGGTCCATATTCCCCGGCGGTCACATCTTCTTGGTAATCCACTGTAATAGTAGTTGTTCTTCGCTCAGGATAAAGAACATATGCCTGTAAGTTTTCTTATATTATCCATCTACATGTGTTGGTCCAATGTTTGTGTTTAAATATTTGTTGTTTAAGGCATTTTTTTGGGGGGTGAGGGATGGGGGGGTTCACTTTACAGTATTGAAGGCAAGGAGTCCTTCATCCCTTTAGCCATTCCTTCCTCCCTCTTCCATCCTTGCTTCCTTTCCATACTCCCTTCCCACCCTCCTCCCTCTACTTCCTTTTTCTTTCTTTCTATCTTCTCCTGTCTTTACCTTCCTTCTTTCTTTTTTCCTTTCATGCCCTCCTTGTTGCGTCCTTTCCTTCCTGACATCTTTCCTTCCTTCACTTTTTTTCTGACAATTCTTCTCATTTGTTTTCAGAATTGCTGAGTGATCTGCATCAAATTCTGTGACAGGCCTTCGATGACCCTTGTGCGATAGGTTTCGTGTCCCTTGCTTCAGCTAAAGGTACACATTCTCCATTAATTTATGTCACCGTTAAATCATATTAGTCTAGAAGGCCACCCTGCTTGTTGGTATGCCATAGCAAAAAAACAAGGGGGGGAAAAAGATTCTCACAGTCATTTCCCAGTCGTTTCTGCGGCTGTTGCCAGCAGGCCTCCATGAAAAATGGATGGACCCCGGGAGTGTGTGAAGGTCCCGGGATGATGAACTCACTGTAGATAAGTGCATGCTGAAACATTCATGCGACCATTCAGGCCCAGTTTAGAGTCGGGCATATGTTGGCAGGATGGCTAATCGACGTGAACATCGCACTCATTTAATATTCATGAAGCGCCAAAGTGTTTTTTTTTTTAATGCCAAATTTGTCATTAGCAAAAATCAGCATTTCAAGTATATGCTAACTTCCACTGGAACAGGTGGCCATCATTTCAAGGGAACAAACTGACTTTTGAAGTGCTTGTATACAAATTGTTGGGTCTCGAGAATGCCTGCCCACCCATCAAGCGTGAAATTAAACACGCAAGTGAATCCGTCATGAATTTGCCAATTTCTGAAAAATGTGTTTGTGATCAGCTCGGCAGGAGGAAGATCCAGAGCCACTTTCAAGCGCCGTTTGCTGGAAAACAGTGTCGGACACACTATCATATGGAGGCACTACAATGCATAAAGAGCTCCATCCTACCTACTGTGATGCCCCTACAAGTATCATTATCAAAGCCAAAAGGTAAGCAGAGATGCATTTAGTTTTATTGCATGGATTTGCGTTAGTTTCTAATAAGCATCGCTTACTTCATTGGTTAGTGATGTTGTTGACGCAGGCTTCGTGGTGATGATGTGTCCATGCAACACATACAATTTACACTATAAACCATGTACTGTAGTCTTGAAGTACTGCCACCATGAGTGGAAAAAAAAAATCTAAATATTTATACTTATGTAGGCTTGAACGAATGAAGGCTCATTTAGTGTGTAAGAAGGTGTAGACCAAAGCAAAAGTTGTCTGTTAATATTTAAAGGTGCCGTCGTCTTTGCGGAGTCTCCCCCATGGCCTTTTAGTCACCTTGATGCGATTAATCACGCCGACAGTGGACACTTGGAAGTCAACGACTCCATCCAGATTGATTGATAGTGCGGCACAGCGGGGATGCAGCGATACCTGGCCCGGTTTCCCTCTCTAGCGGCGTTATGTCCATCGTAACGTGATGGAAAAGACGTAAATGAGGCCTTTAAGATCGTTAGGAGTTTACTACACGGAGGCTCAGATTTACAGCACAAATGTTTGAGGTCAGCAAAACCTTCCCAACGGAAGTCCGCATTTGGTGAAATGAATGAATGAATGAATTGAACGTATCGCATCCCATCGCTTTGACCGAGTTACAGCCAAGCACCCTTGAGAGCGCTCATCATGAGGCAATTCCTGATGAAATAATGTAGGGAGGTTGTTTGTTGATAAACTATCCGATCATAGCAATCCGCAAATCACAAGCTGGTCGACCTCCAATTTGTTTTGGAATAATGTTTTTGAGCCTGAAAGTGATATTGAGCAGAATAAAAATCCGATAATCGATTAATCAGGCGATTAAGTTAAAAAGAATAAAAACATGTTTACAACAATTAAAATGAATTACAGGCAGAACATTTGACTGTTTTACATTACTTTGTGCTATTTGTTTAAACCAGAGAGAAAAATCTGCAAAAATGTGGCATATTTATTCCCTATTTTTAAATAGCTACTATCTGAAGATTAAATCAAACAACAGATTGGTAGGGCCTATTTATTATATTATGGGAGTATCATTTGGCATCAACTGTGATTAGCACATCACATGCCAGATGAAGTTATTTGGCTACGGCAGGCATAGCAGGCGCTGCCTTATTTTGTCCTGCTTGTTGCCCGTAACTGCAAATTATAATGCAGCAGCTGCCATGATAGTGAAAAGACTACATCCGTCTGCTCCACGGAACCTCTCCTCTCAGTGTTTCACTCAGCAATATGGAAAATATTGAAAGAACATGATGTTGGTAGACAAGGATTAAGCGCAGAGATAACATTACGTCATGGATCGTAAATATTCAAATGAACAAGGTCTTTTCCTGGGAACGTGGCCAACTCCCTCGTTGATAAGTAGCCATCCTGCCATTAACATTCCTGCCACGCCGCATTATGGGAATGTCCTCTCAGGTGTGTAAATGGGCTCAAAGTGGTTTGGCGCCAGGAAAATGATGCAAGGCCAAAAAGCAAAAGAGGAAATTGAAAAAAATTTCCCCTGTCAGGCAAAAGTTTGAGAGCCCTGCTATACAATCTAGTGCAATTGTGCTTTCATTGTGTTTAAATAAGACAGTATCAGCTCGATAACGGCATCATTTGCGCTGGCCTCTAATTAATCTTCAACAAATGTGGTACATATGGCAACACCCCTGTGACAAATTAACTATGTGCAGCTCTCCATCATGCCCGAGAGCTATCTGGAGTTTTGTGTCAGCAACATAGCAGTGGAAGTTGACTGAGTGCTGTCTGATAGTACTACCCAAAGGAAACAAGTAAAGATTTAAAAATAGTGGTTCAAATATGGACCCCTGTGGGATCCCTTAGCTAAGTTTTATCTGCTTTGACGATTTCTTACCATATTTACAAACTATAGATGAACTGAAAAGTATCATTTAAAATAGGTTATGACGGTTCCTTGATACAGATGGCATGCTAGCACACACACACACACGCATGCACGCACGCACGCACACACACACACACACACACACACACATGCTCACACTCTCTCTGTATGTAAATGTGAGTAAGCTGCCCAAGTGACTCATTTGAATTAGCGGTAAACTTGATGACATATTTGATTGATGGTTTTAGTGTCTCCCACATTCTGCTTATAAAAAGCCTCATTAAGAGAGTGAAAGTCCATTTTTCTCCTTTCGAGAGCAATGAACCACACGCACTCTTCCTCCTCTTCCCCATCCTGACTGCAGCATTAGTGGCTCCGAGGATTGCGAATAACCAGGCGGCTCCTGCATCGACATGCACGCGCGTTGTTGTCGAATGTGTGTGTGTGTGTGTGTGTGTGTGTGTGTGTGTGTGTAAATAAGACAGTATCAGCTCGATAACGGCATCATTTGCGCTGGCCTCTAATTAATCTTCAACAAATGTGGTACATATGGCAACACCCCTGTGACAAATTAACTATGTGCAGCTCTCCATCATGCCCGAGAGCTATCTGGAGTTTTGTGTCAGCAACATAGCAGTGGAAGTTGACTGAGTGCTGTCTGATAGTACTACCCAAAGGAAACAAGTAAAGATTTAAAAATAGTGGTTCAAATATGGACCCCTGTGGGATCCCTTAGCTAAGTTTTATCTGCTTTGACGATTTCTTACCATATTTACAAACTATAGATGAACTGAAAAGTATCATTTAAAATAGGTTATGACGGTTCCTTGATACAGATGGCATGCTAGCACACACACACACACGCATGCACGCACGCACGCACACACACACACACACACACACACACATGCTCACACTCTCTCTGTATGTAAATGTGAGTAAGCTGCCCAAGTGACTCATTTGAATTAGCGGTAAACTTGATGACATATTTGATTGATGGTTTTAGTGTCTCCCACATTCTGCTTATAAAAAGCCTCATTAAGAGAGTGAAAGTCCATTTTTCTCCTTTCGAGAGCAATGAACCACACGCACTCTTCCTCCTCTTCCCCATCCTGACTGCAGCATTAGTGGCTCCGAGGATTGCGAATAACCAGGCGGCTCCTGCATCGACATGCACGCGCGTTGTTGTCGAATGTGTGTGTGTGTGTGTGTGTGTGTGTGAGAGAGAGAGTGTGTGTGCGCTTGATATCATACCATACAAAAGAGATGCTGTGAAGCTGCAGGCCATAATCTTGATATTCTATTCCCTCCATGCTCTCTCTCTCTCTCTCTCTCTCTCTCTCTCTCTCGCTCTCTCTCTCTCTCTCTCACACATATATATAAATATATATGCATGGCTTATTTCCCAGCGAGTCTCTGTCAGCACAATTTCAAATTAATTGCAGAAAAACCTGTTTACCACACTGGTACTTACACACACACACACACACACACACACACACACACACACACACACACACACACACACACACACACACACACACACACACAACTGAGCATTATACTTTCATTACGACACAAATGGCTTTTTGGAAGCAATGAATGGGGCGTGCAGAAAGGGAAAAAAAAATTCCACAAATGGATTTATTGTATTTCTTAATGACTATGTCGTCGAGGATTTGTGTACGTGTGCGTGTGTGTGTGTGCGCGTGCGGGTGTTAAATGGGA